TTATGGCTGAATAGTGTGGAAAGTCAGTAATTTTTATTGAAGTATAGCTGATTTATAATGTCAACTGATACTTTAATATATTGCTGATGGGAATGTAAGTTGTTTCAGCATAGATGATATATATATGTATGTATGTATACACACATGTATTCCTTTTCATATTCTTTTTCATTATAGACCATTACAAGGTTTTGAGTATAGTTCCCTATGTCAATGTTGTTAAAATACCAATTTCCTCCAAGTTGAGCTATAGGTTCAATACAATGTCAGTAAAAATCCTAGAATTTTAAAAGTTTGATCAAGTGATTCCAAAATTTATATCAAAATGTAAATGTCTCAACACTTGTTATAAAGTTACAGTAATTAAGACAATGTATTAGAAAACAAGATAGACAAAAAGACCGATGGAGGAATATGAGTGTCTAGAAATAGGTCTTCACAAGTGTAGTTTCTTGGCTAATGACAAAATTTCCATTGAAGTTAACAAGAAAAAACATTTATTGTTAATAAGTTGTATTAAAACAACAGGTTTATACTGTATAGCACAGGGAGCTATATTCAGTACCTTATAGTAACCTATAATGAAAAAGAATATGAAAAGCAATATATGTATGTGTATCTATGACTGAAACATTATACTGTACACCAGAAACTGACACAATGTTGTAAGTTGATTGTACTTCAATTTAAAAAATGGAAAAAAATGTGTTAGGTAAATTGGATATTGGATATTTGGGAAAAAATGAACCTTGATTTTTTACCTGATACTATATTCAAAAGTTCACATGAGTTGGATCATAGATCTCAATGTGTAAAAGCTAATATTAATCAAGTTTCTAGAAGAAAACCTAAGAGAATATCTTCATCACCCTGGGATAGGTATAAATTTCTTAAATAGAACATAAAATTGATAGACTACAATAAATTACAAATTTCTATTCATGAAGACATTATTAAAGAGAAAAGGCAAGCCACAGACTGCAAGAATTTACTCACACTAAGTAAATCTGGCAGAAAATACAAGTAACTTTTACAAATCAAAAAGAAAAAGGTAAACAACACAATTTTTTAAATATGCATAAAAGCAGACAGGCTCTTTATAAAAAAAAAGTCCAAAAGGCCAATATGCCTAGGTAAAGGTGCTCTACATTATTACTCATCGGGGAAATGTCACAATGAGGTACCATCATATCCCTACCAGAATGGCTGAAATTAGAGGATGACAGTATCTAGTGTTATCAAGGATATGAAACAATATCAAGTGTTGCCAAGGATGTGAAACAACTGATACTTTAATATATTGCTGATGGGAATGTAAGTTGTTTCACTTTTCGAAACTGTCAGTATCTGTTACAGCTAATAAACATGGCTCTATACCGTGTCCCAGTAATTCTAGGTTATATACAACCAAGAAAGGTAAAAAAAAAAAAGTATTTTTATAACAATAAGAATGAATCCGAAAACATTGTATTGAGCAAAAGTAGACACAAAATAATTAGTGATGTATGACGAAGTTTAAAATAGGAAAAACTAAACTAGGGTAATGGAAGTCAACAGAGTGGTTGCCTTTGGGTTGAGAGGAGTCAGTGACTTGTAAGGGCAAGAGAGAACCCTCTAAAGTGATGGTATATGTTTTGTATCTTGATCTACATAAAATTCATTGAATTATAATGTGTGCTTAAGAGTTTTATACTTTATTTTGTGTAAACAGTTCTTCAACAAATGATTTCAGAGACAAGGAGAATAATTTAAAAGTTTTCATCATGAAAATTTCCAAACAAATTTCTGTAGAGTACAAGGAACCTCCATGTACGTACCATCTTGCTTCAGCATTTTGCCAGGCTTCTTGTTTCTGTTTTTCCCTAACCCGACACATACATGTTCCCCCCTCTCCCTTTTGTTTTGGTAGTAGCATACGTCTAAGTGTCTGTCACAGATACATTAATTTATTCTGAACACATTCTCTGATTCTTATCATCAAATGAAATTTGCTACCTTTTGGCATGTAGAACATTGAATTTTCTGTGTATTTCTTGTAAACCTTTTTTTTTTCTTTTGTTGGCTCATTGACATGAAAATAAATCTCTGCAACTTTTAAATTTTGAGCTAATTTGACTTCTGTATCTCAAAGGAGGGTGGGTTGAG